GGTAATTTTGAATTGCCTTTGTTTCCAAAACAAAACCGCAACTACAGAATTTCTTGTTAACAAGCATTCGCCGTTTTTTAGAAATGAATCCTTCTACATTTAACAATGCCTTCAAGTTACTTAAAAAACCCCTCTCTGAAACAATTTTTTTTCAGCTGTTGACTGGAGCAGCATTTTGAGAAAAATACCTTCTTTGGTTGCATGTAAATGTTGTTTTTGCCACCTGCCCAGGTTCTCATTTCGTCTCGGAAGAAATTTTCCTTTAGAAAGCAATTCCAAATTTGGAAAAGCATAGCAAATTTGATTAGCTACAAAGTCATTGAATAGCGAGTAATTATTACGCTGGTTAGTAAATGATATCGTTTTGACATGGACATATACGAATATCTAAGACAATTTGATGCAGTTTGATTAGCTGTTAGGCTAAATTTTTTGTTGAGAGGCAACTCTAAATTTTAATACAATTTTTCAGATCCATTTCAATAACATGTCAACCTTTTCAGGAATTTTTAGTTTTGATAAAAGGCAATTACGCCCTTATATACAACCAGCCCTCTAGGAAATCAATACACCTGCAATTGTGTGAATTTGTGTGACCAGTGAAGATTCCTGGGTAGCCCAGATTGCTTGAATTTCACCACATATGGCCATTAAGATGGTAGAAAACATCAAAACATATGTATGTGTGCATGCCAAAGCTTCACCAACTTCATTTTGATTTTTGAAGCACGAAAAAAATCAGGTAATGTGGATCCCGTTTTCCTGACCACTTCCTGTAAAAAAAGGTATTTGCTTCACAAATGACATTCTCTTGGAATTACTCTTGTCAATGATGCCATAATTTCGAACAACAATTCGGCTGCATCAATTTTACTATTTGTCAAAACGACCGCACTTATTTATCAGCCTACGTGATAACTGCGCGAGAACAGGAGTACTATGAAAGTACTTACAGTACAGTACAGTCCCTACCCAAGTTTTACTTTATACATTATATTTACTTTTACTTTTTACATTATATTCCCATCGATGAATGTGTGGCCATCAGAAGCTGAGATGGATTCATCGTACTCGCTACTTTTCGGAAACCAATAAACAAAGTTGTAAACTAGCTTGAGGACCAGAAATTGTGCAAGAAACAACCCCAAGCTGATGAGTTTTGCAGGGGGCGTTATGGTGGTGTTTACGTAAGCAGCATATTACTTTTGAAGTTTCTGTAAATATTAAATCCTATGCTCGTTACATCATAGGTTGCCGTCGAAGCTTCAACTGTTGAGACTCGATACGATCGGCGAAACGTGGGCAAAAAGGCTAGCTCGAATCCATCAAAATCCCGAGATATCGCAATTCTTCAATAAAAAAGACGCTTTTCGGATTTGAGATACGGAATTGAAAACCAGCTTTAGATGCGAGGCAACGATAAATATCTAATTAAAATACATCCGCTTGTCTTCCGTACTCCCCAATCCGCTTCTCAAATAAATGGCCGCCTGATTTTTTCTACCTGCTGGTTTATGTTGGCCAAATAATTTTCCTTTAATAGTGCCAATCCTTTACTGTTTCAAGTCAACGGCTGAGAAACGTGCTAGCGCTAAATCATCTTTTTGAATACCCTTTAAAAATTTTCGACTTTACGGCTTTGACCATACATTACTAGTGTTACCCGTGTTACTAGTTACTAGTGTTACCCTGTTACTAGTTACTAGTGTTACCATGTTACTCGTGTAACTAAAGAAGTTGTAGAATGAGACTGCATTGGTGTTCATGTCACTACTCAAAAGCAATAAAAGCGGTAACATTAGTAACATAGTAACAGAGTAACACTGGTAACGCTGGTAACGCTGGTAACAATGGTAAGATATGGAGCCTACGAGTCTTCAATATTTCAATTCAAAAGCGCAAATTCTGAGAATGTTCTAATCAATAAAATGTGGTAGTCGATAGTAACAAAGTACGTTAGAAATAAAGTGCGGTTCATAATTATACGAACACCCCAAATTTTGGAACTTCCTGGACTTTTTGACAGAAACTCAAAAAGCCGTTGGTACCACGCGAAAGAGCACAGCCGAAAACGGTATATGATCCGTAAGAGGAAATGGATGTCAATCTTAAAAGTGTTTTTGCGCCTAATGCAAATTTTTAGCGGTTCATGATTATACGAACACCTCGAACAAGGATCCATTTTTCATTCAAGATTGCAATCATTTGAGTCCAAATTTTTTGTAGAGTTACAGTAACAAAGTCTGACATATCTGCTGCACACTGAACCCAGTGCAGTTCAAAAAGAGGACCGTTACTTTTTTCAGAGGGCTCTAAATGCCTTTGGAGTGATTGCGCTTCAAAAGCATCCGTTCTTCTGTGGTTTACAACTGAGCTCATAACTCGGGTGGAAAAAACGGGGTGCGGCGTATTATCCGCGGCGCAACCGTCGGAAGGTCATAATTCCGTTCAAAATCAATTTTACAGGTTTTTCTGCTCATTTTTGGAAAGCTACTGACACAAGGAATCAGAAAAACATAAAATTTTCCAAAATCGCATGTTCTCAAGAGAATCAGCACTATCGCGACGGAATTGCCAAAGACAGAACCGTCGCATGGTCGTAACTCGATTTAAAATAGGAATTTCGGATTTCTGGCTGTATTTTTGAAATGACGACATCACAGTGGTTGGAAAAACATAACAATTTTTGAAAATACACTTTTTTGGAAGATTTTAGCAGATTTGCGATAGAAAAATCGCGACGAAACCGTCGCAATCGCATAACAACTTGGAAAAATAATTTTTTGACTTTTTGTTCTAGTTTAGCTTTTCTGACTTGCGACGATTTCCAGCATATAAGATCTTTGAGAAAAAATCTTATCCTCCGTGGGTTTTGTGAAGCTGCGACGGAATAATCGTGACGAAACCGTCGCATTGCGTTTGCGGTCCTGAAAGTGATCTTTTTTTTATTCTAACTTCAATATCAGAATCCAGGATATTCGCTGACTCCATCAACTTGTGTTTACAACAAAATGGCCTCCGTGGAGAGATTGGAGTGCGATGCGACGGTGAAATACGCATTTGAGCGTCGTGCACTCATAACCTCAGGCAAGTGCACAAATATCTCAATTGTTCACTGAATTCGATTGTATATGAAAAAAAGATAAGCAAAGGTGAGTTTTCTGTACAATGAAGGGTTTTTTTCACCGAATCATCAGTCATACAAATTATGTGATGACGTACAAAGTGCGAAAATCAAAGCTTCGTAATTAGCAGAGCTTACGAGCTCTGCTCAAGAAGTTTACACCATATATTCTGGAAATGGTGTTGTACACGAAATCTGCATGACAAATACCTGTTGCGATTATTTGTTGAGATATCAGCTGTTGAAGTACGGCCCTCAAGCAAAATTGCAAAATAATTGAAGACCAAGGGTTTTTCAAAAAGCTATAAACAGTAACTTTTCAATTCTGCATGAATGAAGTTCTGACCAGTAGAGTACTCTGCGTTGATACCACTGGCTATCCAAGGCCACTGCATCCGAAAAATGTAGTTGGTAAATGCAGTTTTCAGCATCAAAATTTCGTGTTTTTTGAAAATTGCCCGAACTTGACAATTTTTGCATATTCTGATTCGCGCATTGATTAGCTCTTCAAATATATGGCACTCTTTGTTGAAACGTGAAGGGAGAAAACTGCTACTTTTATCTCATTATTTCGATATGACTTGGGTGAATATCAGAATATGCAAAAATTGTCAAGTTCGGGCAATTTTCAAAAAACACGAAATTTTGATGCTGAAAACTGCATTTACCAACTACATTTTTCGGATGCAGTGGCCTTGGATAGCTCCGCTGGTGGAACTATATCGATCAGTACTCTGCGTTGATACCACTGCTT